ACGACCTTTTGAAAAACCGCAAAAAACCATGCAAGTTTGAAAAATTCTTGAAAATTGCCTGTTGAGGACTGATAAACCAAACTTTCCACACTTGTAGAACAGACTTTTCTCTACAAAATACGTTCAAAATTGACTGTCTCACTTCGCAAGTTGCAGTTGCGTTTTGGAAAACCACATTCCAAAAAGCAATTGAAAATAATCCACTGTTTACAACCTCGGAAGAATTTTTCATTCGGCCTAACAACGAAAGTTTTCCAGTAGAAATTGCCAAAACCTTTCTGTATGATCTGCTAACAGCCCAACTATGGGCATTGTACGAATTCGCCAAACTCCATGAAATATCCGGACCGAATTTCCCATAAATTGTCCGCGTATTCATTATAAATAACCGAAAAAGCAAAGTTGGCAATTGAGTTTGTAAACAAATTATTCACGTGGCGTTTGCTCAGAGAAGCTAATTTAACTTGTACTTTACGCACAACAAAAACCGTACTCATTATGTTGGATCGACAGATAAAACGGCAATCAACAAACTCGTTAGGACTTTTGATTGGCTTTTTTTAAACTGAAAAGGAATGCGATTAGGAACCCATTTAGGGGCTTTGATTTTAATGCGACTGGAGGATGGTGGATGCAGATATCATCGAAACGTCCGGTTCAAGAACAAACCGCGAAAGCCCCTATAATTTACAATCCTGTTTCGTGCTTGTTTAGGAAGATTTAGCTGATAAATGTTCAAAAACAGTTTCATTTTAAAAAGAACTCGCTAACATAATTTAAAGGATACCAAGTAGAATGTAAATTCAAATAAAGGTAAATCAAAAAGCACAACTTTCGTTATTAGGGACAAGAAGATTGCTTTTTTCGCAGTTTTCCCTATGTTTATATCTGCATAAAAAGCGCTTTTGCTTGAAAATTGAAATACCGTTATCCAAGACTTTGTTATGGATTTTGTGCGTTCGTTTAAGCCGCAATATGTGGAACGTTTGTTGGGGAGGAAAAAAATACAGTCCACGTAGATCTACACGGAATATTACCGGCTTTTATATTGAAGCTGTCTCATGTTTTCCTTTGGAAAATTGTGGATTTTTCAACCGAAGTGACGTAAAAAGCAGCAGGGGTTTACGGGGGTTTTTTTCTTTGTTTTTGTCACGCGAAATAACTGGAAACCCAGGAGGTTTATGGACAAAGAATGATTTTCCTGCAATTTTTCGATGGAACAACAACCAATACAGTTGTTTAAATCCGTTGATTGAAGCGTTTACTCATACAGATTTATACAAATGGGCTGAAAATGTTAAAGGCATTTTTGGTGTAAAATTGACCAAAAAACCTCTCTGTATAGCGGCATCCTTCGCGTTAATTTGACCGCGCTCTAACGTAATTAGGCCTGCTTAAATGAGACGATGAAATCCCGTAGTTAAAAGATAAAAATAGTTCAATTAAAACATGTATTTGAACCAAGTTCAAAAATCCCTGAGACCCCAACTGGGGATAATATTCTAGAGCATTTAACAAGCCCGCATAGAGCTCAAATTCCTGGTTAAAAAGCTCTTTTTGTAATTGTTTAATTGTCTTTGCTTAGATTGCGATAACGTTGCATTAAAGTAAACTAATTCTGTTTGATTTCTCAGGTTGCATCATTAAGACCAATGAAGGTAAGTGGGAAAGTTTCATATATGTATAAGGCCCACGTAATTTATGGATTTTTAATTAAAAAATTTAACACCTTTCCTGCTTAACCGAAGAATGCGGTACTCAAAACTCAAAGTTGTTCGTTTGGGTTCGTTTGATTCGCGCCTTCTAATTTCCATTTACATTCCTAGATTTTTATCGAGCGCTCCTCAAAAGCGGTCTTTAAATGTAAAGGTAATAATGAAAGAAAAACTAAATATTCTCTAAAATTTCCCAGATTCATAAACACACGTTTTATAGTCAAGCTGCTTGCATGTTTGGGGGTAATCGGCTATACACCATTAAGGCGTTCCGTAACTCTTAAAAATGAACATAACAAATGCTTTATACTTGAATTTTTTCTAAATCTTGTGCAAATTTAAGTGCGTTATTTACTCCAATTTTCGAGTTGGGATGTTTTTTCATAGGCGCGATGTTTGAATTTTGGCTTTTTTAGACCCAAATTTGCCAGCTTCTCAAAAATCAGTCGGCCCTGGGATCATTTTATAATTTTCTCTATTTTTTCAACAATGTATTCTATAAACCGTGTGCAAATTTCAGGTTGCTACTTGCTCGAATTTTCGACTTAGAATTTTTTTTGAGGGGCGCAAACTTTTGAATTTCGTCGTTTTGAGCCTCAAGTTTACAGATTTCTCAAAAATCAGTCCGTTCTGGGATCTCAACGCAATATACTTGCAAACTTCAAATCCCTCAAACATATTCTGTAAAATATTTAATATTAATATATTGTTGTTTGGTGATTCTTTAGGCAAGCCTCATGAGTCGCATGATAAATCGGCGAAGGCCGAAAAATTCTGTTAAACACCAACAGACCACAATTGCGGATCTGCCTCCAGCGATAAAATATGATTTTAAAAGCCAAAAGGAGAATAAATGATGAATGTTGTGTGCTTTATTGTTCCCACAGGGATAACAGATAGTCAAACAGAATATGATATTATGTTATCCATCAAAGGGGCACTGGATATGTATTAGGAATATTCCGGAAATAAATGTCATTCTGGTCAAGTATGGAGATTAAACGACTTTTTTTACAGCTCTGGTTAAATTTAACATGGAATTAATGCCGAAATCTTCGAATTTAATAAAATTATGACTAACAATGAAGATGCTTGAGATTTTGCAGATTCCATGTCTAGTCTGCGATCTGACTGCACTTGGTTTGGCCTGAGGATGGTTTAATTAAACACAAAAACGTGCGAAAAAAAACAGAAAAACTTGGGCTTAAAAAGACAACATTGAAACATCGCGCTTTCGAAAAAAAATCCCAACTCGAAAATTGGTGTAAACAACTTACTGAAATTTGCACAAGGTTTAGAAAAGACACTGAGGAAAAAATGTGAAAAATTGGAAAACAATCGCAGTGATTTTTGAGAAGCTTGTAAACTTGTAAAAAAATTCTGAGTCAAAAATTTGTAGTAGCAACCTCAAATTTGCAGACGGTTTATAGAACAGATTGTGGAAAAAAATAGAGAAAGAGGTTCAGAAAAACACTGAGGAAAAAAACATATAAAATTATAAAATAATTCCAGGGCCGACTGATTTTTGAGAAGCTGGCAAAATTGGGTCTAAAAAAGCCAAAATCCAAACATCGCGCCTATGAAAAAACATCCCAACTCGAAAATTGGAGTAAATAACGCACTGAAATTTGCACAAGATTTAGGAAAAACACTGAGGAAAAAATGTGAAAAATTGGAAAAGAATCCCAGAACGGACTGATTTTTGAGAAATCTGTTAAATTGAGGCTCAAAACGACGAAATTCAAAAGTTTGCGCCCCTCAAAAAAAATTCTAAGTGGAAAATTCCAGCAAGTAGCAACCTGAAATTTGCACACGGTTTATGGAACACATTATGGAAAAAATATATAAAATTGTAAAATAATTCCAGGGCCGACTGATTTTTGAGAAGCTGGCAAAATCGGGTCTAAAAAAGCTAAAATCCAAACATCGGGCCTATGAAAAAACACCTCAACTCGAAAATTGGAGTAAATAACGCACAAGATTTAGAAAAAACACTGAGGAAAAAATGCGAAAAATTGGAAAAGAATCCCAGAACGGACTGATTTTTGAGAAATCTGTAAACTTGAGGCTCAAACCGACCAAATTCAAAAGTTTCCGCCCTTCAAAAAAAATTCTAAGTGGAAAATTCGAGCAAGTAGCAACCTGAAATTTGCACACGGTTTATAGAATACATTGTGGAAAAAATAGAGAAAATTATACAATGATCCCAGGGCCGACTGATTTTTGAGAAGCTGGCAAATGTGGGTCTAAAAAAGCCAAAATTCAAACATCGCACTTATGAAAAAACATCCCAACTCGAAAATTGGAGTAAATAACGCACTCAAATTTGCACAAGATTTGGAAAAAACACTGAGGAAAAAATGTGAAAAATTGGAAAAGAATCCGAGAACGGACTGATTTTTGAGAAATCTGTAAACTTGAGGCTCAAACCGACCAAATTCAAAAGTTTCCGCCCCTCAAAAAAAAATCTAAGTCGAAAATTCCAGCAAGTAGCAACCTGAAATTTGCACACGGTTTATAGAATACATTGTGAAAGAAATGTATAAAATTATAAAATAATTCCAAGCCCGACTGATTTTTGAGAAGCTTGCAAACGTGAGGTTAAAAGCTCCAACATTCACAAGTTTGCGCCAGCCAAAAAAAATCCTAACTCGAAAATTTCTACCGGAAATTTGCACATGGTTTATAGAGAACATTGTGTAAAAAATGTAGATGTTTTAAAAACAATCCCAACACCCCCTGATTTTTGAGCAGTTTGCAAACTTGGACTTAAAAACGCCAAAATTCAAAAGGATGTGCCCGTGAAAAAAAATCCTAAGTCGAAAATTTGAGCAAGTAGCTACGGAAAATTTGTACACGACCAAGAGAAAATATTGAGGGAAAAATAAAAAAAAATTGCTTGCAAACTTGCGTCTAAAAAGCCAACATTCAAAAGTTTGTGCCTGCCAAAAAATATTGATCAAATATAGGGGAGGTTCCAGGGTGATTAAAATAGTGGGCGCAAAATAAAAAAAACATTTTAACTGATGTTTTGATCTGTTTTCAAGAATCTAACTTTTCGCACAGCGCGTTCAAAGCAGGCAGTTGTGAACAAACGTGGTTAGACTTTCAATTGCGCTCTTCAAAACTTAAAATGTACCACAATGTTTTAACCCTCTAAACTGAAGTACAGTTTTTCAACCAAGATACCAAATGGTTTCTAAGAACTCATCCAACCAATTCTGAGGCACAGAAAGCAGATAAAAAACAAAAACATCAGGGAATAATGGCAATTGAAGCACTTACTCAGATTCATTATTCTCGAAGACGAGTTCCCCTTGCATTCCCTCAAACTCTTTTCCATTCTTCGCGGTTCCATCTTCGGTAAAGTAGGGCAGAATGACTCGTCCTCTCGCCCCCGAGCACCGAACCACCTTCAACTCGTACGTCCCCACACTTTCCACCAATTCGTGGTTCTGAGCCTCGAACTTGAACAAGCCACCGTGATCGTCGTCCAGAATAATCACGGTGGCCAGAACTGGTGCCCCCAAGCTGCCCGAAGGCTGCGTCGAACACAATCGAACATAGAAATGTTCGTCCGGCTCGAACACGTCATCGTCGATCACTTCCAGAGTGATCCGCTTCTCCTTCTCCCCTGAATTGAACTGGATGAGGCCCTTGGCCTTCACATAGTCGCTGCCAGCTTGAGCGGTGCCATCCTCAGTGGTGTACTCGACTGATAGAGGAGCGTCAATGTTTCCAGTGCGAACCACTCTCACCTCGAACTGGCCACAACTTTCCAGAACTGTGTATTTGGAGGGTTCGAAGAACACTCTGGAGCCGCTCTGGGTGAACTCGCTCACTCCGCTTTCGCGCTGCAGCTCGGCCTTCACTTCGCTGAGGTCGCTCTGGGCTCTTTCCGAGATCCTCCGCATCAAGTCTCCGCTGCCCATCAGCTTGCGCGTGGCCTGGATCCGGTAGAAGGCTCTGGATTTGGGGCCCTTGTTCAGCAGGATTTCGTGGGCCATTTTCTCCAGCACGTCAATGTCCGTTTGAGGGTGCTGATGCCTCAGATCCTTGAGGGTGCTGATGTACTCCTGCTTGATGTCCTCGTGAACGTCATCCAGAACGAGAAGCTCCGTGTTGACCATCTCCAGGTTGTCGCCGCCCTCCGCTTGCACGATCACGCCCCTTTTGTTCATTCGGAAGTCTTTGCGGATGTACCTGTGGATATTCCGGTCGGCTGCATAGGCGGTGATGACCGTGCATGGGAAGAAGGAAAAGGTGACCAGGCCCTCCCAGATCTCGACGCGGCCAGGCGAGAAAACGCAGAGGATTAAGTACATCCACACGTAAGCGAAAACTGACCAGGTGGCGGTGACGAAGAACACCCCCAAGTGCTTGATCTTGCGAACTTCGCCATCCGGAATGACCCACACGCAAATGGCGATAATAACGAAGAGGTTGTAAGCGGCAGAGCCCACAATCGTGCCAGGGCCCAACTCCCCAGCAGTGAAGCCTCTGGCATAGATCTCTATCACGGAGAGGAGGATCTCGGGGGCGCTGGATCCCAACGCCATCAGAGTTAAATTGGCGACCGTCTCGTTCCAGACGCGGACAACAACAATCTGCTTGTCGCCGCTGGTTTTCCGGACGGAGACCTCGCGCTCCTGCGACGTGATCACTTCGATAGCTGCCATGAAGCGATCGGAAACAATGGAAACGCCGATGAAGAGGAAGGCCAAAAATAGGAAATAGAATAATCCACGTCCGATCTTGTCGATGAGGGGGACATTTTCCAGGGGCTGCCAGCAAGGGAGCGCCAACCCATCGGTGCACCTGATCAGCGATAGGTTGTGGCCGTCCCCCATCGCTCACGGCGTGTCTGGAAAAGAGCGGACAACGAGGCGCCTCATAACACAACTTGCACCGGCGTCGCGACGAAACTGAGAAGCGTCGCGACGGTGGGAGCAACTGAACCGCCGGCCAAACCCCCTTTTGGACGAAGAGTGGCGCAAGTCTGGGCAATAAGGCGTATCTGGATCGTGTGGATCGCGATTGTTTCCAACGAAAATGCTGTTTTCTCATTTACAGCATTTTAAATAGGTGCCAATTTTATTCGACCGTTTTTACCGAGGGCTTTGTCCGCGACTGATGCTTCTTATTGAGACACCCTATATACGGGGCGATTCACTTTTGCCCTTAGCAGTGCGCCAAAAATTCTATCACGAGTTGGAAAAACGTGTACTTTTGGAGATATTGAGCATCAAGTTTTGGCAGGATTTACAGAAAACATTGAGCAAACGATTCTACGAAAAATCTATGTTCTTGAGACGCTCGCAACCTGGGATCGAAAAACGCTAAAATTCAAAATTTCAAACTTGTCAAAAAAAAATCCTAAATCAAAATTCTGAGCAAGTAGCAACCTGAAATTTGCACACGCTTTATAGAATAAATTGTGGAAAAAATATACAAAATTATAAAATCATCCCAGGGCCGACTGATTTTTGAGAAGCTGGCAAAATTGGGTCTAAAGAAGTCAAAATCCAAACATCGCGCCTATGGAAAAACATCCCAACTCGAAAATTGGAGTAAATAACGCACTGAAATTTGCACAAGATTTAGGAAAAACACTGAGGAAAAAATGTGAAAAATTGGAAAAGAATCCCAGAACGGACTGATTTTTGAGAAATCTGTAAACTTGAGGCTCAAAACGACGAAATTCAAAAGTTTGCGTCCCTCAAAAAAAAATCTAAGTCGAAAATTCGAGCAAGTAGCAACCTGAAATTTGCACACGGTTTATGGAACACATCATGGAAAAAATATATAAAATTATAAAATGATCCCAGAGCCGACTGATTTTTGACAAGCTGGCAAAATTGGGTCTAAAAAAGCCAAAATCCAAACATCGTGCCTATGAAAAAACATCGCAACTCGAAAATTGGAGTAAATAACGCACTGAAATTTGCACAAGATTTAGAAAAAACACTGAGGAAAAAATGTGAAAAATTGGAAAAGAATCCCAGAACGGACTAATTTTTGAGAAATCTGTAAACTTGAGGCTCAAAACGACGAAATTCAAAAGTTTGCGTCCCTCAAAAAAAATTCTAAGTCGAAAATTCACACTTGTCAAAAAAAATTCCCAAATCAAAATTTTAAGCAGGTAGCAAACTTGAAATTTGGATACAATTTATAGAAAGCATAAAGGAAGCGATATGGAAAGTTCTAAATCAATATCGATGTCGACTAATTTTTGAGAAGCTCGCAAACTTTAGCATTGAAACGCCCGCCAAAATCCAAAATTTCTAGCTTGTTATAAAAAATCCTATCTCAAAAATTCAAGCAAGTTGCAACCTGAAATTGGGTTGCAACACATTATTTGCAGAAAGTATTAGGGAAACTATGTTGAAAATTCTAGAACAGTTACAAAGTCGACTGATTTTCAAGATGCTCGCAAACTTGGGCTTGGGCTTAAATAAGATTAAACATTGCCCGCTTGTAAAAAAAATCCCAAAACGAAAACTCGAGAAAGTAGCGAGTTGCATTTTATGCACGGTTTATAGAAAATAATGGGGAGACAATTTGAAAAATGGTAAAACAATCCAAAGGCCGACCGATTTTTGAGAAGCGTGCAAACTTAGGGCCTAAAAACGCCAAACATTCAAAAGTTTGCGACTGTCAAAAAAAAATTCCTAACTCAAAAATTTGAGCAAGAAGCAGCCAGAAATTTGTACAGTATATGTAGAAAACAGTGAGGAAAAAATGAAAAAAATTGTTAAACAGTCCTGACGCCGACTGCTTTTTGAAAAGCTTGTAAACTTTGACCCTCAAATAGCAACATCAAAATATCGACCATCCAAAAAAAAAATCGTAACGCTAAAATTACAGCAACTAGCGACTTGAAATTTGCCCACCGCTTATAGAAGACATTAAGAAAAAAATGTGGAAAATTGTAAATCAATCCCAACATCGACTGATTTTTGAGAAGCTCTCAAACTTGAGCGTAAAACGACCAAAGTTAAAAATTTTGGGCCTGTAAAAAGAATCCTTTCTCGAATTATTGCAAGCAGCGACTTGAAATTTATACTCAATTTTTGGAAAAGATTGAGCCAACAGCCGAACCCTAAACTTACATGCCTGTTACAAAAAATCCTATAAAAACAGTTGATAAATTAGCAAATTAAAACGCTCCAGGCACTAATTAGCACTTCGAATTGAAATATGAAAGCTCAAAATCGTCAAAGTCAGAACAAATAAGCAAAATCAGCCGTCGAAATTATGGATCTACTGGCTCCAAGAGGAAAAATTAACAAGTTGCGAATGGAAACAGAGCAAATTGGCAGCGCTATGAAGATACTACTCGAGCTTAAGAAGGAAATCATATCCAAAGTTGAGGAGACCAAGAATACAATCCGAAACTTGTGCACGCAGAAATCCGCCCAAACAACCCGCCCGTCCATTGTTGTTAAAGACCGGACAGTGTCCCTCCTGGACAGGTGAGCTGACAGTAACTCGTCAACGTTCTACTTCGAGTTTGTCCAAACACTCGCATTTACACCATGAGTTCTTCGGATGATGTGGTCGCGCTCATGATGGAAATTAGAAAAGAGTTCGAGCGCAGCCTTTCGCTGTTAAATTTGCGAGTTTTAGATCAAACTGACTTTGATATTCCCGAGTAAGGCTTTGTTTTTGTCGGCCTAAAAAGTCCATTAGATGCTGATTATCCTCGCAAAATGCACTCAATTTCAGGGACATCAGCCGAATTCAGAACCTACACGATATCGTAGTGCAAGACTTGCAAGACTTGAGGAAAAGCCTGGAAAGCCATGGAGCCATAGTGGAGAAAACCGAACTGATAATGAGCGTTCTCAGCTATAAGCTGTATGAAATCCAGTTCGCATTTCGCAACGAATTCGATAAACTCAAGGCGAAAAAAGAGAGCTTAACAGCAGTGCTTCAGTCGGGGAAAGAAGAGCCCACAATCGCCCTCAGGCTTGTTGAAACGGACGACGAAATCGCCAAACTGGAGGACACACAACAGAAGAACTCCGAAAGCATCAAAGCCCAAAAATTGGCAAGTTCCATTCAAGTAGGTAACTTCACATGGCATTGCGACTGAATTTTAGGAAGCCCAAAAGGCCTACGAAAAAGCCGTGCTGGTCATGGACGAGAACTTTGAAAAAATGTCCAACGGGTTAAGCAAACTGCTCGTGCTGATTGAGGCGGAAAAATCCACTCTTAGCGAGTCCCAAGCTCAACTGGTCGACGCGAAATTCGCCGACCAAGTCAATCAAATCCGGGGGGAAATCGAAAAATTCACCGCCCTGCAAACTACTGGCTGGAAGGTTCTCTATCCAGAGGAAAAGCTGTCAGGTAGTTTAAGAAAACTGATCATTTCCTTCAAGGAGATTTGCTTTTGCTTGCTCAACAGGCATGTAAACTTTTTAGCAACTTTTATATGCAAATAAATACTTTTATCGACAAGTTTTCCTCAATTTATCCTTCGATCTGAAATGCAGCAAACAGCAGGATGGGAAATGGGAAAGCTATAGAAGTATAAATGAATTAATTCTGCTCTGCTTGCTTGTAGAACTTCTACAGGAGCGAGGATTGAAAATTTTGCACAACGGTCAGCTAATAACAGGCGATGGTCAAGCGATCACATTCAAACAGGCCCAACAGTCGAAACTACTGGAAGACATCAGCCCTGAGGGACTAAACGAGCTGAAAGCGAACATGACCGCCGACACTGATGAATCCACAGACACCAGTAGCAGATTTTAGATAAAACATTCGTTTCAAAAATTCTCTAGCTACTTTTCAGCAACATCCAGCGTCTCAATCGGAAGCAAAATCTCTTCAGAGGATGTCAGCTACCTAAAAACCTGCCTGGGAAAGCCGCTGGCTCTGGCAATAGCCGAAATTACGACACTGCAGCCCCGAGATCCCATACACTATTTGGCGCATTGGCTTTTCAAATACCGCTACAACCAGCAGATGGAGGACATTAACAACATCGAAATCGACATTTTGACGGAAAAACGAAACAAACTCGCAAAGGAGCGATGGGTACTGAAAAAAACTCCACATTGTCATGATGCGAATTTTCTTCCAATCTTCAGCACAAATTCATTGAAGGCGAAGCCAAAGCTGCGGTCATAGACATGGTGCTAAGGGCCGAAGACATTGCGCAAATGAATGAGCTGAACAGAATCCAGCGGGAAACGGAGGCGATGGAAGAAATGGAAAACTTTGAGGAAGAGGCTCGGGACACGCTGGGGCCTTACACTGGGCCCACAGCTGGACAAATGGCTTTGTAAAAGCAAATCCCAATAAACACCGATTAAATCACTATATTCAATAGTTTACACACTCAATCCGTTTCCCTTGAAAGCCATTGGATTCATGGCAAGCGCTCTCCACTAGTTGCTTTAGCTGAAACAAACCATGTATAAGTAGCGTGAAGAAACACATTTTATTTTGTTGAATCGGCAACGAAAATAATTCAGTTCCGAGATTTCTTTTCTGGTTTAAACACTCACACAATAAACAGGGTGTCCCCGAAAAATCCAGCTTGGTGACCAATTTATATTATGTGGTCACTTCCGGGACACCCGGTGTACAAGTGACTTGTGAAAATTTTGCAAGTGCATACCTCGTTCAGGAAATTTCCCGGAAGGAGTCCTTAACTCGTTCGAAGGAAATTGCAAATAACATCAGCAAACATCCCAGCGAATTATCGCAGATATTTCACACCGCTCATTGGAATGGCCTATAAAACAAACTTATGTATTTCACCAGCAGGACGAGTAAAAAAATAAAGGCATCGTTAAGGCGCTAACCTTGAATCGATTATTGCTATTCAAATGTTAAGTTGATCGAAACTATCTGCTCGTAGATTAAAGCATCGCATTGATCGAATCTCGTCCAATAATCAAACGCTCTATTCTTGTTGGTGGTTTGTAAGGATAATGTTTGATAGTAAAAATGCCTTTATTTGCCTATAGAAGGGTCGCCCACCAAGGCCGTAGTAACGGAAAAAAACTTAAAACGAAAACATACCTTTCTCATATACTCGCAGATTTACGTTGTAAATGGACGCAAATGATGGCGATTTACAATTCTAGCGGTCATCCGTACGATTCGCTATTTTGTTGTTGGTAGCGCAGGGCCTTAGATTTCGCTGGATAGTCCGCAATGGAATAAGAGTTTATCTTCTCAAACGCAAAAACTGTAATCTATCGGATTGACACAGTGGGGCGGATTATTTCTCCAGGACGTCCGGTTTGCTTCTAACTTTATAGTCCGCCCGCAAAACAAAGTGGCAGTGGGTTTAAGCACCTAATAAATTACTAGCTACTCTCACAAAAACAATGAATCTACGCGCTGCAAGCAAAGGGCCCACCGTGCTTGTAGTCTGCGTTAAACCCTCTAAACAAAAACAGTTTCAATAGTGAAGCTTTTTCATCAACAACCTCATTCTCGTACAGCTTACGTTGGCACTATGTTTCCCAATCGGTTTGGAAAGACGCACTTATTTGCAATTTCCGGACGTGCTTCAGCCGCTGCTCATTTTCTTGCTCTTTCGTTGGACAACGCTTTAAATAAACGGCTATGTTTCGGATAATCCAAAGTAACCGGTTTTAGGGGGCCGATAGATAATCGTGGTTTGGTATGTAAAGTTGAAAAACACAAATCACAATTTTTACCGATTTATTAGAAGGCGATTCCCTTCAACTGTAATACCAAAGTTTCGCGAGGAAGCACTTGTTACCTCCTGCTCAACTGTTTAAAAATAATTATACATCCTAAATACCAAATTACTGTAGTTAGTTCAGGACAAATCAATCAGCTGCGCCTACGTTTACCCAAAACTTTGGATTCTATGTGCGATTCTTTGGGACATTTATCTACAAACATTTTAAAATGGAGCAAGCGAACACAATACTAAGTAATCGGGCTAGTTGGTGGAAGGAAACGTTGTACATTTAACACAAAAACGAAAATTTGACATGCCAATTTTCCGGTGAATACGCAAACGCTATTTAAGAATATACAAATCGCTTAATTGAATTTGTCCTAGGCGAATTGTGCGCTTAATTTAATAACGTCTTCCGGCGCCTCGGCCACCTGCGCCACCACCGCTGCCGCCTCCGTAGCTACAATACAAAATGAGATATCATTTAAACAGATACTCAAATGAACTATTGGTGTTAGATGCATATAGCTTTCCATGCTAGTTTGGTGAGACGTTCATAGACCGCCAGGAATTTTTCAAAAGGCGCAACTTAGCACTAACTGGAATTACTTAGGCGCTGGGGTTTTCCGGCTCCGAGAGGAACCGATCGCAAATATCCAAACTGATTAGCATTTGTCTTCTATCTACTTTCGCGCGAGCAGAGGCTCATGAAGATGCCTCAAAGTGAGTGAACAGAACACTGATCTCAGCCAAACCAAACATCAAAGAGCGCACAGCAAATTACACCCACGGTTCATTTGTAACGTCAGAAACCATTAGCTACTATTTAGCTAACAAAGAAAAATAAATCGCCCAACAAATATCTACCCGTGAATTGTTCATTTTCTCAATAGGTTTGAACTCAGAAAATTTGAGGCATTTGACTATTAAGCATCGCTTACCCTCGTTGAGCTTGAATTGGTGGATATGAGGACTCATATCCTCCACCCCCGCCACGGGAATCCATTGCACCTCCATAGCCATCATCATATCCTCCCGCTCCACCTCCGTAGCCGCTGCTCGCACCAGCACCATAGCCACCACTTCTTCAAATTATTACTTCCCACGTTTAATAGCCACCAGATAGCTTACCTGTCTCCGTATCCTCCTCCGCCTGAGCCGTAACCGGTCCCATATCCTCCACTGGCAGCTCCTCCTCCATAGCCGCCACTTGAGGCGCCTCCATAACCGCCACTGCTGGCCCCACCGCTGCCATACCCTGCGTTATTTCCATAGCCGCCACTTGCTCCACTGCCGTAACCGGTACTGGCATAACCAGAGCTCGGTCCTCCGTATCCTCCACCTGAGCCATAACCATTTGATCCGCCGCTTCCTCCATATCGGTCATAACCGCCGCCTGCGCCGCCGCCACCGCCACCCCTAGTAACAATGGTATTACTATTTTAAATTAACTACATATTCACTCAGATGCCTAAGGCTAGGCAAACTGTGTTAGAGGGAATCAGCTTGTTATGTGCTAAACAGCTAGTCAACTGTGTTCTGCAAGTTGAACTAATTGGGTGTGAGTACTCAGCTTAAAACGCACTCTAAGAAAATCTTGAATCTTACATGGGCTTGACTCCGGCATCTCTGCGGCTGTAAAGGTCACCACCACCAGGTCCTCTAGCAGGAGGCCCGCTTCTGAAATGAGAATGTAGTTAGTGCTCAACAATCAATATTGGCTTCATGAAGAAGGAAACTATCTAGTTTCAGTGGATCAGTCAAGCTTCGTTGCAAATCACCACGAAGGATTAAACCTTAAAACTTTGCTAAAGCGTATCTTACCTTCGGTCCTCGTATCCACCAGGTGCTCCTCTAGGACCATCCCCATAGCCCCCCCGGTCTTCATAGTGAGCGGGCGCTGGTCCCCCATAGGGGTCATATCCTCTATCCTGAGATGGATAGCCGCCTCCTCCTCTCCGGTCTTCAAATCCGCCCCCCGGAGGTCCTCGTCCGCGTCCTCCAAATCCTCCTCTACCACCTGAGTCAAGGTAAAACATATTTAGAACAGAAGAGGTTTGGCGTTGAACTCCTTCTATACCTCCAAATGCTCCGCCGCGTCCACCTCGGAAATCTCTTCCGCCTCCGCCTCTGGCGTACGGTGCACCTCGATCCCTGCCGCCAGGGCCTCCTCGCATGGGACCCCCAGGACCTCGGCGCGGCTTAACTCGGCCTTTTTCCACCGAAATTCGGGAGCCCATGAAATCAGTACCGTTGAGTTCGGTAATGGCTTTCATGGCCAGATCGCGATCCTCCAGATGCAAGAATCCGCAATTATTCGAAATATCACATTCGGCAATGGTTCCATAGGGTTCGAAGAGTTTCCTGAGATCGTCGGGGCTGATGCCGGCCGGAAGACTCCCCACAAACACTTTGGTAGTGTTTTCGTCTCGACCCCGCTGCTTTAACGTGAAAGTTTCGCTACAGTGACATGAAACTGTGAGTGTTTTAATACTTACCATTTTGTTTCCAGAACAAACACTGTGTTTTTCTAATTAAACGGCGCAGACCCGCGAACAACCGAATCACTCCACACGCCACGCAAATCACAAGAGAAATTAAAATGGCTGCGCCAATGACAAGATGCGGAAATCCGTTTTGGCATAGATGCCGGACTTACAACGTCGAAATGCTTTAATTCAATTTTTCTTTTCAAAAAGCAATTACATTCATCAATAAGCAACTAAATTGTATTTCTTAAACTGAAGTTTATAATTGAATAATCAGAACCGCGATTAGTACTGGAACTCGAAAAACTTGAATAAACACTTGACAGAAATGTAAATGTTCCAAGTAATGTTTTCTGCTATTGGCAACACCTATATGAAATGAAGAAGCTTTCGGCGGTGCCAAATTGAAAAAAAACGGCAATTTTCCTGATTTTTCAAATTAATTTAGAGTTTAATTGTAGTAACAATTGTTACCTCAAAGCTACAGCATTCAAACCCACTTTAAACCGAAAGATCAATTTAGCAAATAGGTTTTTAAAACTCAAAGAAATTGCACATATTTGCATTTTTTCCCATGACTTCGCAGTTACAACCCTGATTTTATTTTTCAAATCGCTCCCAATTAGTGTGGTTCATTATTGTTTTACCTTTTGAAATTAAAATTAAAAAATTGAATTAATGGCACCAGAATTATCTGCATGGGCGCTGGCAATACCGCTTTCGTTTTTAGGTTGTGTTTCTCTACAGTATCTATTTCTACTGACAGTGAACAATGAGAAACCGTTGAGTAATCTACCAAGTGTTTTAAAGAAAAATTCAAAAATAATGGAAGTTTTTGAAGATATTGCCAAGTGGCTCAAAGATATGGGATATGACGGAAGAGTCCCTGCTAACCTTCTTAGGTAAATTTACACTTGAAACTCTATTTTTTTATTCATTTTTTTTGCTCATCGCATTCTCATTTTTCTCGTTACTTGAAACCCCAGACATTGAAACTGATGAGTTTTTCCTGCTTTCCTTCGTCATAGTATTCGTCCTAAAAGCCCGAAAAACTCACGCACTTCAAGCACCGGTTGAAAGTTCCTAGTTCTGTTTATATTGAAATCAGCCTGGAATTTTAAACACATTAATTGTCCCTTTAAAGCATATGCAATCAGCAGACAAGCCACATATGGAAACAATTAATTGCATCAGTTCGTCCCAGGGAAGAAGCGGAAACTGTGAAACTAAATGTAATTCGCAACAGGTTGAAAATTAAACCCATTGACCAACAGGCAAGTTCAATTTGTACAACTGAACGTCTCTCGTTTACCTTTATTTTCTCGAAATTAGGAGTCTTTTCCGTTTAAAGTCAAGGAAATGGAGGCATACAACCACAAATTAAACCTCGAGAAGAAGTTAGAGCCGTTGAAAGAAACTGTGGAAATGAATAAGCTGAATGTGAAGCAGATGTATGCAAAGTATAAAATGAAAGGTATGTGAATAAAATGCTCTGGTACTTAGTAGCTGTTTTGTGATGCATTTTCAGAGATTGCTTTGAAAGTTTTAAAGAGCAAAGTGGATGAGAATGAAGAACGCCAGTTCCTGCTGGAGTCCAAGATGGAACTCTTGAAACAACAGCACTTGGAGGCCGAACAGCTCGTGTCCAAGCTGGAAAGTGTTATCCCAGATGAAAGAGATCAGAATAGTACCATCAAAGACATTTCAGTGAGTTTCTTTTAATTCACCAAGGGGGTATTACCATTAAAAACACAAATTACAGCCAATACTGGAACAGTGCGCCTTGAAACTGAAACGGCTAGTGATGGAAGATGAAGAATTAAAGATGGAAGAGCTTAGCAATATCTCCATGCAATCCAACAGCCGCCTCAAACAGTCCCTTAGAACGCCCCAAGGCGGCGATCAAACAGCGTATGGAACAAGGGATGACCAGGAATCAGGAATATTCCCCTTTGTTATTGAAGGAAGCAGCTTTTTAGAATCGTCTCGCCTTACTAACTGCACTCCGATGCGTTGCAACTCCCAAAGTTTCTTTGATTTCAACTTGTCCATCCCTGCGACGCCTGTAACTCTGAACGGTGCCAAAGGCTCAGTTTTCAAAGTTCCTAATACGACCTTAATGAAGAAGAACATGAAAAGTGATCATTCCTCAAAGAAAGTGTACAACCACCCTGAAGTTACAAAAGAATGTAGGAAAATTCTGCAAGAAAACGATGTGGAGTTGATATACCAAACGCTAAAACACTTGAACGGGAATGCTGTAACGGAGCTTCAACAAATCGTTCAGAAGGAAAGACTGCAAACTTATCAGTAAAACTTATCGATTCTAGTTTTATTTGATTATTCATCTAAGGGTTTTGAATAGGGTGGGAAATAAGAAGATCCCTGATCGTGATCTGGCAAGGTTGGCATTCATTCATGTCGACACTGAAATGAAAATTCGAAATCAGAGCAGAGAGATGAAAGAGTTGCTGGAAAAGATCAACAGTCGTAAAGAGCACATCCTGGTAAGCCAAAACTCATCCCTATTTAAACCTGTCTGGAGTGTGAGCATTTTAGACTTCTTTTACTGGAGGTAACAAAGCTCAACTTGAGGAAAGGCTGGAGAGAGCCTTGATGCAAATTTCTTTCAACACCACAATGGCCGCGACGCTTAGGGAAATAAACGACCAGCAGTTTAGCACTAGTAGAGTGGAAGCAGAAAACTTTACCTCTAAGGTTCAGAAAATCAAATTAGAAATAGTAAGGTTTCCTCAAAGTATAACCAACAAGCTGGACAACAGGGTCATTTTCTTTCCAGAACAGTAAGCTGCAGCTAATCCAATTCATTACTAATGAAATGTCCCAAGCTGTAAAATACATGAGGAGGAATCAGGACTCATTCAGCAATTCCAACTGGCGGTTGCGGTCTTTCACATTTGACCCAAGCTGGATGAATTCACTATTGAATAATACTTGGGTGAAAGAAATGCTTGTTTTCAAAAATGTCCCCTTGGATTACCAAAGGCAATGCACGTTAGTTGAATTCTTCAATTGAAATGCCGAAAGTTCATACATGTTTCTTTGCAGAAACTCGAATCTGTTTTATAGGGACCTAAGCCCGACATGGTATAGTAACAGTATTCAAATGGGGCATCAGGAACTGCAGTTGCTGGTTGATATTCTAGATGGTCCTTTCGATGCGCCAGAAACAATTTTGCTGAGAATTACCAACGCCAAGATGAAGTTGGACGCTTTGAAAACAATGTCGAATTCGTTAAAGAAAAACAAGTACTTTGATGGCCAGACAAAATGTGAGTCTAGAATCCCGAATTTGAGTTTGGATTTTTATGTGCTGAGTTCTTTTTTGTGTAGACTCGTCCGAGGAATTGATGCAACAAGAAAGTTACCTGATCCAAGCCCTAGATAGTCTGAAAGGACTAGTAGTATCGTCCAAGTCCTATGAAACATTGGCGGCAAGTGAAGTGGTAAAACGTTCATTTCAAATTTGGATTGAGGCCCCAATGGCAGATTTTATATCCGATAGAAGAACAGTGGAAGGGCACAATTATCAATATTTCAGGAAAAAACTGGCCAACTTATTGTAAATGTTGCCTGAGGCCAGTGGTTAAGTATGAGAATTTAAATTGTTTTTTGCTTTGAATTAAGTAAGCAGGAAAAGTTCCGCTAGCTCCGTCCAGAAGCTACGCGCGCGAGTGAGAACGTCGCAATAAACACGTTATTCACAGAATGCGCCTAACTTAACGCGAGTCTCAATGCTTGATGTAGAAAGGCTGCTTAACCTCACATCGGCCTTTAATGAGAGATCTTGTACATTGATGAAATTAAAGTTATTTAAACAAAATGACAATAACTAATATGACTCTAGTAAAAGTGGCTGCAGTGGGAGGCATTGCCACAGTGCTTATGGGATTTACAGCCAGAGCGAAAATAGAAAACAACATAAAAACAGCGTCGTTTTACAAAGAAGCCCTGGAACAAGTTCGGGGGCACCCTGCTGCAGTGCAACTATTAGGAAAGCCCATTAGGGACGGTTATATCAATGTGGGCAGATCCAGTGAGAACCTTATTGAAGGGAACAAAGGACATTTCACCGTGCCGCTCAAAGGACAGAAACAAAAAGGAACCATGTATTTATATACCACCAAAGAAGACAATGATGTAGAATGGACCCTCAGTCGGATAGAGCTGGCCGTTGCTAACTTGCCAGATAAAAAACTCATAGTGAAAAACGATGAAAACAAGCAAACAATTAAGCTCGAAGTTGCGGTAACGGATTCAAAGTCGGTTAAAAATGGTGAAACTTGATTACCTTATAGCACAAAGGAAATCATGTTTATACAGAAATACGGTGGACGTTTTCAAAAGGCTTGTTAAACTGTAAATAAGTATAATACATCTGTTACAATCAGGCTCCAATCACCAGAAAGCATAGTCTATATACGTCGGCGGCTTTTCGAACTTTCCAGTCTTTATGTAGTTATTTAACAGCTCCTCCAAGCGCTCAAGCACGCCTCCCAAGTGTTTGGTTTCTTTGCATTTGGGCAAAAATATCTAAAAAATCCAGCTTAAAATGAGGAGAACCATGTTTCCAGCACCACTCACTTGTAGAACAATTTTTAGAATTTTTTGAAACTGCTTCCCATATCGAGCATCCATTTCGAAGCCGACCGTTTCCAAAAACACTCGCAATGCTGTTGCCGTAATGTCGATTTCGGGCTTCAGTCGTAAAAACGACGCCAACCATCTCCAGCCAACTTTTAAATTGTAGGGAGATTCCTGTCCCCGCTTCGGCTTGGTAATTAACAAGGCAAAGTACAGCTTCATGATACCTGAAATGGGTGTTTAGCGTCCAAGCCAACGGACATTCGGATTTGGCTGCTTACCGCTCATTCTCATGATAAACTTGTCTTGTTGCTCCACATCTCCATTATTGTATTGGTAGCCGCGTTTCTTGAAGTAGCTCTCATGGCTTTCATCTACGCCCTGTGGAATATAATAGGGCACCAAGTAAGGGCATGTTTCGTAGAAATAGGCCAACACAAGCATGCCAAAGTCGCTGAAATCATTCCAAAGCGACAGTATTACAGATGCATAGCAGAAGGCGGATTCAGGATTACTTGAAACATTCGTATCGCCCTGCATGACAAATTTCTTAGCCAACAGGTCCATACAGAAGGAAATTCCTTGTGGGTGTTTCGATGCGTTTACTGCGTTATCGCCCACCATTACAGTTTCCCCTCTAAGCAAGCTAAAAAGCCGTATAAGAAAAATTGTGAAATTTAACTGAAAAATAGTGAGAATACCTGTGAAGTTTCCTGTATTTGTCCAAAATGTGCTCCGGATTAACATTGGATAACGCGTTAACGGAAATGTTAATAGTTTTTCTGCAGTCGTTCCTAAACGTTTTAACCTCGTGTGATTGATTGTTTTCCACATCGCTAATTCGTTCCTTAAACGCTTTCCTGAAGTTTAGCACCGCCTGATATATCTGTAGGTTGCTTAAGCTGATGTAGGAATTAATTTGCTCCGCAATATCAGAAACGTTGTCCGCTATACTACCAGCTACCGCTACTGGAGCTGCATTTGTAGAAGGATCAGGTTGATGCACTACTTGCTTATTTTCTTCGATACTAGCTGCGGTTCTTTGTTCTTCTTTTCGTTTATCTTCGATCGCTGCATCTATTTTTCCCTTAAGGGCAACGATGTTCTCCAACACGTTACCGGACACTTCCACATCCTCGTCATTTACATTAATAACATTATCACCTTTACACTTTTCAATGATTTTTTCGAATTGTTCATGAAACCCTTTAACTGCATTGATATCTAGTTCTAGACTGTCCTTTAAAGCCGGAATTCCAGTTACGGTTTTTATCGACTCTATGATCTGCTGAAACACCACACTATACTTTTCTTGATTTTCTTTGATGCTCAGCACCCGATTGGCCAAAAGCTGTCGTTGCCTTTCTCTATTTAATAGCTGCTGTTTTTTCTGTTCCAAATTTTCTGCCGCAATTTTCCTCATCTGGGCAAGTTGCGCCTGTTGAGACGCCTGAATCACCTCATACTGTTTACTGGCTTCGATCAGAGTATTCTCCTGTTTCTGCAAATTGTCGTTCAGCTTTCGTTGGGCATCAGCCCATGCCTGTTTGCCACTTTCTTCCTGCTCGGCATCAAACTGCTTAAAACGACGAAGTCGTTCTTTCAGAGCATTATGCACATTTTCTTGCCTTTCCCAGTCGAACAGCTGCAGCAATTGCCGCGTGGGCACCCCCTCTTCGATCACAGGGCTAGTTTTTACCGAGTTTGCCTCATCAGCCTTTGAACCGGGCGCTTTAGGTTTTGGTGCCGCCAGCTTTCGATCACTGCCTGGCTTTCTCACCGAATTGGGGCCTATAGTCACGTCAGTTATTAAATGGTTCACAAGGGCCACTCTGGCCATTATGGCCCGCTGTAGGGCTTCGTCGAAATCCTCGTCCATTGCCGTAAATCAAGGGTTTTCTTTAAAATAACATGGAAGACGCGTAATAACCAATTAACCTAGAAAATGTTCGACGATTTGAGTGAAAGACGGATTGACGTGTTTGGCTTTGACCACGGACCACAGATTATCAAACTATTAAGGTTTGGTAACATCCAGTGGCGTGCAGGGTGTTGGGATTATGCAGTTGCATTTACAGGGTGTTTGAGTAATTGGATGGTTTTAGGAATATAGTTAAAGGGTTAAATGGGGGAAAATTAGAGGATTTTATTTTGGGTTGGTTTTGTTTAGTGCTCTTAAAATATTGCGACAATGTATGGTTAACTTTGAAAAACCCGCAGAAATTTCGGATTTTCGCATTTTACGTGGCAACTAGAAGAATTTCTAGGACGGTGTTTTATGTAAAAAAGTGCACGTTTTAAGGCTCTATCACTCGATGATAACTAGAACTTCACCGCTCAACCGGTTCTCTAAATACGAGCTAAAGACGGTTTACAAAAGAGCGGTTTAAAAGACGTACATTATGTACATTTTTTGCCTTTCGCGTGAAAAATAGAAACATTTCTAAAATAATGTTTTACATCAAAAACTGCGCTTTTAAATTTAAAGTTACAGCTTCAAAAAAAACACTCAAACAAAAAAATATCACTCAACTTTTCTAAATATGAGCCGAAAACTAAGGGCTATTTAGAAGATCCGCAATAATTTTGAATTTTCGCACTTCGAGTGAAATCTACAGATCATAGGGAGTGAACATTGATAAATAACCGCGATTCCACAATAAACTGCGAACGCGAGAAACTGGCCAACTAGCAAAATACCCTTACATTTTTTCCCAATTAGAATATTATTCTCCTAATGCATCGCAGTCGAAAGCATGATAGTATTTTTCAGTGGCGAGTGCCATTTTTGGAAGCTATTATACGATCATTTCAATGAATTATTCAAAGCTTCACTGGCTCAAAAAACTATTATTGCAATAAAATATTTTAAACTAAGCATATGCAAAGGTTTGTTTGCGTGTTTTGTTCACACTCGCATATAGAATTCTATTTGCCAAGCTCGTTAGTGTTTGGGAAGCGTCTCCTTGATCGGTTCGGTTCTTTGGATACACATTAAAAATCTTATCTTTCAACAATATAATGTTATCTCTATTTACAAATTTATAAACTTGAAACTCTACTGAGAATCTTAACAAAAGGTGACACGATTAACGCGATTTTCGCTTCTAATGTGAGGACTAGATCCGAGTGTGGTGATATACATATTGAAGTTGGAAAAGGTTTACACACTAACATCGGTCGATTAGCTGAGAAACCAGTCGCTCGGTTGGTCTAAGTGAAATGTTGCTAAAAGAGCGAAAAGTGCTGAAGTGTTTAATCAGGATGACAAGCATGGAAATCTGAGTTAGAAACGACGTAATAAGACTGCATAAAATGCTTTCAATGCCGCCGCCCGTCGATTCTTCATCTTCATCGGAGTCACCAAGCAATGATAGCGGCAATAACGGCATAGAAGTGCAGCATATCTTCAGACCAAGAAGCAGCAGCTGGGGAACTCACCATCACAATAGGAGAAGTCGCACTCCTTCGGTGATTGCCGTTCAAGAACGAGCAAGAAGGCGGACGAGTTGTATGCCAAGTGTGGTGAGTTCATTCAGCTACTCAAACGAGGGACTTTTTTAAGTTGTTTTTCCTAAGCAGGCCACGATTTGACTATAGTTGCGCAACATTCAACTAAATCACAATTTTTGTCTGGAAATATGGGAGATAATCGAAAGGTCAAAACGCAAGGAATTTGGCTTGTGATTAACTGGCTTTGGTTAATACTACTTGATAAACTTAAAAGGGATTTAACCATTGGGGCATTAATTAATATTCAGTAGAAATAGTGAATAGAAATTTTGTTGAATTCCGGCGCATTAAATAAGGAAACTGAAGCGTTGAAGAAATTTGCAGTTTAATCCGAGCGAAGCAGAGTTAAAACAAAAACATGACAAACAAAACAGTAGCTAGATACGGATTTCACTGTTCGAATGAAGACGCTTTTGTCGATGCGTGTAGAAAGTTTCGTTCTTATGCCATCATCAGGCTTCTTCCGTCGTTGAAAAATTTTCTTCAGAAAAATCTTCAGAGTCGAGCAAAGCACCTTTCAAGATTGCAAGCCGCGCTCGGTCTTACAAATCGTTAACAAGAAATTCTTTTCTACAACGGCCTAAAAGTTCGAAAAACTTGCCAATTTTTGTGATTTCAGTTGAGTAGCAACTTCAGATTTGTTTCTCCAAAAAAGTAAAACTCGAACGGAAGAATTAGATCTGGTCTTAAGTGAGTTGCGACTGTTTGCCGTTGGATAAAAGTATGTTTCGATCCAGAACTTTTATACTGGATAGTCTTTGAATTGTTTGTTTACTCGGTCTTACAAATAAGTTTTTATCACGTTTCGGTTTGTAGTATTTCACAGCAAAAAAAAGAAAAGCAGCCCGATTTTTTCAAAATTATAATACGAAAAAAATATATAAAAAATTATGAATTTCGAAATTAATCTCTAAAACTTCCTGGGTGGCAGTCATTTTTATTAAAATATTTACAAAGCAGCTTTTCAATCAGAACGTTCTGGTATTTTCGACCATAATCAGTCAAGTAATAAAAGTTGTATAAATAAATTAATTTGAAACACATTAGGAACACGTTTTATGTTTATTATTTTTTTATTGCGCCCCCGATATTGCAATTCGCAGATAATCAATAACATTCCGGCTTTTGAGCTGACTGTGAAAAATACAGGAATTATACTAAAATTAAAATTAAAATTCATTAAAAATCTAAAAAATTCATTATCGTTAATAAAGTCGGTGTGCACTGCGCGCTACTGCACTTGTTCAATTCCGAACAAACCCCCCGGTTTGTTTGAAATGCGCTGTTGTTTATTGGAATCTAACCCCAATCTATATTCCGTCAAAACTGACAGTAATCCTTGATTAAAAATAGAAGACATGTCAAGTTGTGTATCCATTTACTGAAACACCTTTTATTTTACGTTTTTCATGTTAAATTAAAGTGTACGGTAGTGAACGTTTTTTAATGGCTTCTGATCATGTTTTCGGATACATTCCCCAGATAGAAGAAGATGGATTTGTAAGTAAACGTCGTAAACACTTTATTATATAGTGCGACTATTGCCATATCAGTTTTATGGATTGTATTGTTTAATTCCCAGTTTTGTTAATTCAATTTATAGTCGGCTGTTTAGCTCGTCCAATCATTACACGGCCGAAACGTTTTGTGCTTGTAAGGATGACGAATTTCATATCTTACCTTTTCCATAATCCCCAGCACATGACCTTACAATGCTTGGAACATATCATTATATTTCGTATTCTAGGATAGTAATTAATAATTTATCGGCAATGAGAAACAACCAAGACATAAATATATGTAATGCGTCTGATAGTGAGGAGCAATTTTAACAGTTTTGCCAGGAAATTGGCACCTTATCTAGAATTTACTTTGTGATAAATATGCTAATGTTTGGCAGTTTCAAGCACTACTTGGGTATTAGATGCGAACTATTGCTATAGAAAAGGCTACGACATTTAGTTAAAAATCAATCAAACTGAGGCCCTAATGCAAACCTGAAGTTCGAACTACAAAAATTAAGTTTAATGTTTGGATTATTCCTAATCCGTATTGCTTATCCTGCCAAGATTTTAACGGCGTCTCGAATTAATTCTGAACATTTTAATCCTCAAACTGTTATTTCAGAGTGAAGAGTCAACGAGCCAATTGCACCTTAAAGTAGTTAAAGGCAAGAATTTGATGAAAAAGGACATTTTTGGCGCCAGGTGAGTTTGCATTCGCACCCAAATAGGAAACAACAAGCGATTGTTATTGAATCATAGAATTTGCTAATAATTAACCTTGAAAGCTCTAGTAAGAGCAACCTTCATTCTGGCCAGTAAAAAGTACAAATTCACTGCCACAAGAACCCGATAATCATTGTTAAAATTGGGCCATAGATGCCTATGGGTATTTGCTTGAAAACCAGACCTAATTATGCAATTTGATCAATGCTGTTTGTTTCCACACTCGTGTTTACTTGCCTGTTAATTAACTTACATAACTACACCAGTTTTATTACTTGTTTTTAATGAAATAGTTCGTTTATCGCATAGGTAATCGCTTTTTTAAGTACTGGGGTTTTCAGTGACTTTCGTTTGATAATTTTAACATTGATTTTTTAGCGACCCTTATGTTAAAATCGATCTTGTGCCAATAAATGAGGATGCAATTATTGACTCTGTATTAACTCGGACTAGGAAAAAGGTACAGGAAAATTGTAGTGTTTTCTAAAAATGCATTTATAAATGTTTGGCTTTTTGCAGACGTTGAATCCGGAATGGAACGAAGAGTTTATATTTAGGGTAAGATTTTTATGATCGTTTTTTATGATTCATTTGCATATAAATGTGCGCTTTTTAGGTCAAACCCACTGAACACAAACTAATTTTACAAGTTTTCGACGAAAACAGACTGACGCGGGATGATTTCCTTGGCATGGTGGAGCTGTCGCTCGTTAATTTACCAAAGGAACGAGAAGGACTCATAATTCCTCCAATAAAGTATTTGCTCCGACCCAGAAGGTAAACCTTCTCCAACTCAATAGAAAATTTTTTAATTAACCGTTGTAATGATCCAGGCATGTGACGGGTTTGTTTCACAGTTTGTCTCATTTGGGTGTAATTCGTTCAGGGGATTTTCAAACGGTTGATTAACATTGGCTATTCAGGTGTTTGCTTGTTGAAACCAGTTGAATTATAACACTGCCATCTTCAAGTGCTCTGACTTCATTTAATGCATGCTCTTCATTCGTGTTCTTTCACGCAACCTAGCAGTTTTAGCGCCAAGTCTCGCGTCCGCGGCTACCTCGAGATCTACCACGCCTATCTCTTCGATGGGGGTTCTTCAGCGCCTATTGCTGCCATTGAAGAGCCGCTCAACACCAACGAATGGGAGATTGTGAGCGAAGGACGGGAAGAAAATGCATCTCAAGTAAGTCTAACCTGGATGAGTTCAGTGATTTCGAGTTGGCGAACAATCCGGTTTTGGATTTGCAGGCGATTCTCGTTTCTTCAAATTCTACCGAGTCTCAAGCGCCGCTGCCATCCGGCTGGGAGGAACGGCAGGATGCAAATGGCAGAACTTACTATGTCAATCATATTGCCAGAACCACGCAGTGGGAGCGACCCACGTTAACGTAAGCCTGCCTGTTTAGAAGTAAGCTTTGGGTTCCTAGTTCTGCATTTTCTTCAGGAGCAACACGGCTGAGACTGAAGAAGTGACTCGAGGGGAGGACAGAGAAGTATTCGAACGACGATATCACATAAGCGCGGAAGAGCAAAGCAATGGACGAGGCGACACATCAACCAACAATAACCAGGTCTGTCTTGCACCTGATTTTACTTTTTTGCACTGAATCCATGGGCAGAGTAAAACAGCACATATTGGTTACTTGCATGCCACATTTAGCAGTCCGATGACGACAACACACAGGTCGAAGAGTCGCTTCCAGCGGATCCTGTGTCCTTTGCAGGCAACAGTGAGCAAGATCGGAATCATCTGCGTCCTGCCGATGAAAACGCTGGCTCTCATGCAAGCGAAGCCAGTTCGGACGTGGCCAATCGACTGAGTGTGACCGATTCCGATTACAACGGATCGGCTGAAAGTGAGGCTGAAAGCCGGAGGAACTCATGGAATCAAACCGCATCCCAAACTCGCGTTGACACGGTAAACTTAAGCTTTAATAAGCCCAATGGCGGTAGATGATTTTCCTAGTTTTCTGACTTGTCTGCTCGAAGTTAGATGCAACACCGTTGTGTTCATTGCAGTTGGCCCAACACGAGACTAGAGCTTAATTTCAGCCTTATTTGCGTTATACGCGTTTTGCTTTCAGCATCTATATGCAACTGCTGTTTTTGTGTATTTGAACTAGTGTTCCGCCGACTGCTTGAACGCAACAACACAAACAAGATTTATAGCTTTTTAGCTTCTTCACACAGAAGCAATTATTATTGCCAAAGGAGTTTTCGTGTGTGTGTGTGGGTTTCCGGCCATTGTTTGCAACTGCTGAGTTCTTCGGGCATTTAACCCGCAAAAACTCGTCAGTTTCAATACTCATAATTGCGTGCTGGTGTGAGTTTTCCTAATGCAAAGGTGACGACAATTAATTTCGCACATAGACCGCCAGTGGGTTGTATTTAAATCGCTTTTGTATACTTTGTCATACGCTAGTTTGTGTTGCGTGGCACAGTTTACTGGAAGAGTGCCGAATAGAAAATCGCCGTTTACTTCAGCTTGCGCTTTATACCGGGGCTTTTCCATCATTTTAACCAGATAAATTTGAATTGCAGAGTTTTGACCAAGCTGATAGCAATAATTCATCGCGACGCGATTCTCCAGTTTCCGCCAACACTGGCAGCAGTAGACAATCGCAGACCGACTTGACGACAATCGGAGAAGATTTGCCTTCCGGATGGAGTGTTCAAAGGTCAGTAGCTACAAGTGGACGAGGGGAGGCGGAAAACGTTTCATTAGACTAACAAGCTTCTGCTGTTTGGGTGCAGAGCTCCAAACGGCCGCCTGTTTTTCATTGATCATCATGAAAGAACCACGTCTTGGGTGGATCCAAGAACGGGGCGTGCGAGTCCAATGCCCAACCAGCCTGCCGTGCCGCTAGTTAATCGGAAACCGGACGACGATCTGGAGCCTTTACCTGAAGGCTGGGAGGAACGCATACATACGGACGGGCGCATATTCTTCATCGACCACAGTGAGTTGCAGAAGTGTGCTTTCGACGCAGTTTTAGCCGAGCTTGTTCCAGATACCAGAACCACTCAGTGGGACGATCCGCGGCTTTCCAACCCGCAAATTGCCGGTCCAGCCATACCATATTCAAGGGATTACAAGCGGAAATATGAATACATGAAAACTCAGCTTAGGAAACCGGTGAGTCCAAATTATATCGAAAATATGTGGGCAATGAATGAGACCAGAGTTTGTCCTTTTCAGACAAACGTTCCCAATAAGTTTGAAATCAAAATACGCAGAAGATGCATACTGGAAGACTCGTTTAGAGTCATCACCACCGTGCCCAGGGTAGACTTGCTGAAAACCAAGTTATGGGTGGAATTCGAAGGCGAAGTGGGTCTGGATTATGGTGGCTTGGCAAGGGAGTGGTTCTACTTGTTGTCCAAAGAAATGTTTAATCCATACTATGGACTGTTCGAGTATTCGGCAATGTGAGAACATCAACAAGTCTGACTATTTGTTTGTAAATTTAGTTTTTCCAGGGATAACTACACATTACAAATCAACCCTACATCGGGATTGTGCAATGAGGAGCATCTAGCGTATTTCAAGTTTATTGGCAGAGTAGCTGGAATGGCCGTCTATCACGGCAAACTCCTAGATGGCAAGTCATTGGCCTTCATTGTCTAGAAACATTGTTTACTATTGTCGTTTGCAGCTTTCTTTATTAGGCCGTTTTACAAGATGATGTTATCGAAATCGATAGATTTAAAAGACATGGAGTCTGTCGACTCTGAGTACTACAAATCGTTGCTTTGGATTAAGGAAAATGATCCGTCCGGGCTGGATCTCACTTTCTCCGTTGACGAGGAGTCGTTTGGCCATACAACCGTCCATGAACTGATTGAAGGAGGCGCCAATATACCCCTAGATAATCCCAATAAAGATGAATATATCAAGTCAGTGCTTTATAGAAAGTTGGTTGTTTTCAACTTATTCTAAACCCGTTTTCTGTTTATTTCAGATGTATTATTCAATGGCGATTCGTCGGCAGAGTTCAAGAGCAAATGAACGCGTTTCTCGAAGGGTTCAGTGACTTAGTGCCTCTAACGGTAATCAAGATCTTCGACGAAAATGAGCTCGAGCTGTTAATGTGCGGCATTCAGCACATCGACGTAAAAGACTGGAAAGCAAATACTCTGTATAAGGGCGAGTACCATCCCAACCACATAGTTATTCAGTTTTTCTGGAGGGTTAGTCTGATTGAGTACTAGCTAAATTCATCTACAAAAAAAATGATTTGTTTCAGGCGGTTTTATCATTTAGCAGCGAGATGAGAGCCAGACTATTGCAGTTTGTAACTGGAACATCCCGAGTTCCAATGAACGGCTTCAAAGAATTGTATGGCAGTAATGGGCCGCAGCTATTTACCATAGAACGATGGGGGACTATTGACAATTTTCCACGAGCCCACACTTGGTACGTTCTCTGTATGATAAGAATTTAAGAAGCTATTTTACTGAGGAACATTTTGCAGTTTTAATAGATTGGATTTGCCACCATACGATAACTACGTTCATCTGAAGGAGATGCTGGTGAAGGCTATTGAAGGCTCGCAGGGCTTTGCTGGCGTAGACTAAATCATACAATTTATACAAAAATATTTAATGAGATTATTCTTTTTACAATTCTGTCCATTTTAGTTTAGATGTATTCGAGACAATGCTGATAACTCTACATCAGCGGCACCGTTATTCAAATGTCCCCATGTTATCCTCCCAAAATATTGATTGATTTTTGAAAAATTTAAAAGCAATTTTCTAGGTAATTGTGCTGTCTGAATGTAAGATGACAATGAAGTCGCTATCTAATGGAAGTAACGTAAATGGTTGTTTGAAATTTGAAACTAGATTGTTATAATGCAAATTTGTACGTTTAGATTCTATTCCGTATACTAAGAGACATGATTAAATGTTCATTGGTATATACACTTGTAGATTGTGATACTCTATTTATAGTTTTTTTTAATATGAAATTGTGGTATATAGACTTGTTACAAACTGTATAAAACTTATTATTTAGATGTATACATGCTAGTGTTTATCCTATCTTTTAGTGTCAAATTGCAATTTACTACTTCTTAAAACGGTTAATTTTAATTCTGGTATATTCGTAGTTAGATGACAGCAAGCTTTCAATTACTGCTGTTTGATTAGTGTATGAAAATGCTGTTTAATTGCATCCAACTTCACATGAGCTACTTGAAAAAATGAATGATGATTTACTACAAGCAGCTCTTTCGATAAAGACCAAAAAGTTAATTTAATTTTTTATGTAAATAGAAGGTTTGGTGTCGCTTACACTGCTACCGATTTTTTATCGGACACGATGAATTAGCTATATTTTTAACATATTACTTAACTTCTATTTAACGTTATACCCATACTATGAATCGATATCTTGTTCAGAACCTAAATGGTGTCCAAATAAATGATTTTATTACATTCGTTTAATTTCATCTTCCTAAACATTTCAAGGCTTATTGGCTGGTAAGCAAATAATAATAACAATATAATAATAAAAAATGTTTAGACTTCAGTTGCTTGTATAAAAACTGAACTTAGTTCAAGCTAAAAGATTCATAGAAGAGAAATCATTCTTACCAGCTTTCTGCAAGCCGACGCCCCATCCTCTATTTTCTACACATTAATCCTTCACACCAGAGGCAATGAATCCACTCCGAATGAAAAACATTTTGCAAAAATCTTGCAGTTTGCAGGCAGGATAAACAACCGCACATGCTTAAAGGGCAACAATGATTCTACATTTTCCGTCAAAGGACGCCATTCACACGACACGAAAAACTTGCGACCGATTTCGTTCATGGCCTGAAATAAACTGAATATTCAGGCAGCTTTTATCGAAATTTTTGCCGCATTTTGAGGCATAGAATGATTATAGAATAATTTGTTTGATAGCATTGTTAAGTATTTTGTAGAAAATGCCGGAACGGCAAACTTGTTTTTTTCCCAACATATCACTAAACTAGATCGAGAATTTTCTAAGCGTTTTCAAAATTACTCAGCTCCAGTTTAATTTTTATTTAATCGTAATGGCGATGAAATTCGCAAACTGAGCACAGAGAGTCGACAAGCTATTTATTAGATAAACAAACGCTTTTAAGGAATTAAAATACATTCAAAAAATAAAATTACTTAGTGTACTCTACTGTACAAGGAAAACTATGTACACAGTGTAACCCTTTATCAAGCAGTTTCTTTTGTTGGCCCATTACAAGACGCGTCACCTTTTCGTTGCTCTTCCAACGTATCTACCAGTTTCTTTATGAAAGGGTGCTCAAACTTCCCATTCAGAGCGTCGAAATATTCCTGGCATTTTTGCGGATGATTGTCGCGTTTTTCATAGTTTGCAGCCGTGAACAGAAGATCGAATCTATCCAGGTCTTTAACAAACTTTGCTTCTGGCGTTGCCTTCGATTCGTATTCTTTGTACAAATCGTAGATTTGACTACCAGCTGAACCTGAGACAAAAAGGTTTGTTTAGTATACATTTGAAATATGTATAGTACAGAAGATTAGGATATTGACCAATGTGACTAGTGATTTTCTTCATTGCTTCGTCTTCGAGTTGGTGCTTCACATCTTCAGGTACATTGTCATGTGGTGTAAGATCAGTTACAACTGCTTCAGCCAGATCGTGCACCAAACTTAATTGGAGACACTTGATTCGGTCGAGTTTTGAGTCGTTTCCCAGCAGGAAAGTCATTAAGGCCATTGCATACATGTGACCTAAAGTGGGAAATAGACCAGAAAACATGTAAGTTTTTTAAGCTCAATCGAGGGTTTTGGACTAAAATAATATAATATTTTCAGTTATACATTGACTTTTTCGCAGAAAACTGTGCCTTTGAATGTTAATTGCATGGTAATATTGAATTTACACCACGAACTTTTGCCAGAATATCAACCAAAACTAGGTAATTCTTGGAAAAAACAATACTTTTCTTTTGGTAACTCAGCTGCTGTTGTAAACCAACCTGATATTGTTTCATGGTCCTTTATTTTGCTGAAAATCCAACCTCGTCGTGGTAGATGCTTAAGATCATTGACGAACTCCAAAAACTTCAATACTTCTGTAGGATTTAAGCTGTCCATGTCTCTAAGGGGCTCTTATGGGCTTTTAAGTAATAACGTGGCGAAACTTGTGATTTATCAACTTGCTTAAAACTGACTGATTGATTAATAAATGCTGAGCGTTACAATCCATACAGTCGGTCTTATCTATACCACAACATCCAACGAGATCGTGAGATATCGGGCACAAATGAACTTTTTGTGAAAGGAAACACCTTGACATTGGGCATAGCGGGTAATTAATTAAATAGGTTAAATGCTTTCTATTCTTCTAAAAAAAGGCCCCCAGAGCAGAGAAATGCGTCAATTTTTGCGACATATTCTGAAAACGTAACGTAACCACAAACTATTGTTTACAGTGGTGAAGTTTGAGTGCTGGCGCTTAATGAACTAGACGATAAAAACTGAAAAAAATGGTCTCAAAGGAAATTTTAACTTTACAATTCGGTCATTATGCCAACTTTGTGGGTACGCATTGGTGGAACATTCAGGAGTCCAGCTTTCAGTACGATTCAGCTGCACCCTCTGAAATAGACCACAATGTGCTGTTTAGGGAAGGAATTACCCCAGCGGTAAGTAGGGAAGAAGTTTTCACAAGAGTTTACCCGGATTCAACTATTTCGGATTGCTAGCGCTTTGCCTTCAGTGACTAAGTGTTTGTATTGCCACCATCTGCAGGGTCGATTCTCATTTTTTCGTTCACTCTTTACGTTGTCAATGTATATTTGTTGCATATGTTGGGAATATATTGGGACGCGATCTTCATCTCAAGCTTTCAATTTTTCAAGCTTTGGAAAAATGTAGGTATTTCAATATTTTCATTTTCCCAAGGCTTCAAGAACCCCTATGCCTCAGAGAGAGTCTGATGAAAGTCATTAGCTGCGAATAAAACGCACACAAACTAATAAAACACCCTTCCACCTCTGTAAGATAAAAATATTCCTCCAGGGCCAAGTGACGTTTACCCCAAGGCTCCTACTTGTTGACCTGAAGAACAGCCTGAAAACCTTACCCATACAGGGCGATCTGTATGAAGAGCCCCCAGATCCTTCTCAGCTGTTTATGAAATGGGAAGGCCATAAAATCGAGCTCCAAGAGGCGCCGCGCGAATCAAAGAACGCCTTCCAAACGGACATCAACAACGCCAGTGCGTTACCGACCGTTGCCACAAAGAAGTACAATCTTGAGCAAGATGTACAAGTCTGGTCCGATTTCCTCTACTCAAGGTTCCACCCAAGGACTGTGAATGTTATCAAGCAGTATCAGCACTGCAATGCTGAAACGCCTTTCGATAGTTACAGCCTGGGGGCGGCTTTATGGAAAAGCGAAGTGTTTGAGGATCGATTCTCTGATGATATCCGGAGATATGTTGAAGAATGCGATTATTTTCAAGTAAGCCGTAATCCATATCAGCTTTATTTGGGTTTTAAATCACTCGATCACGTTTCATTAATATTTTTTACAGGGTTTTCATATACTTACAGATTGCACCAATGGCTTTGCTGGCCTTTCCTCAGCCTGTCTAGAGCACATAAGGGACGAATATGATCGAAAGTCGGTGCTGGTTTTGCCGACCATTCCAGCACATTTTCCCGACAATGATTTCCAGACTGCTCACGAACAGGTTTATTCGCTCATGAATGACTCCACACGAGTCATTAATCTGCTGCTATCTTTTAACACGTACCGCGAGTTCAGTAGCATGTTTGTGCCTTTGTGTACCAGTGAGGCTGGATGGCGACAGCCCGGGTTACCTCGGCAATTCTACCATACCCAATATAATGTAAGCATCAACAAATAGCTACAAAATAGTCTGGTGCAGCGCGCGTTTTTTGCAGCACAAATTGCCGTACCATTCAAGCGCCTTTTTAGCCGCTGCCTTGGACACAATTTCGCTGAAATATAGACTGGAATCTTCCACTTTTTCCCTGTCTGATCTCTGTGCCGATTTGACTGCAAACGACCGCAAAGCAGCGGCAGGCAGCCTTTGTATGCCGTTCTCTCTTAACGCAGATGCGGATTTAATTGACTGTCTGGACCAATGGGAGGGGCCTTTATACAAAAGCATCACTCCAAGATGTTCCATAGGTGATTAGCGATTAAGCCAATAGTTGCTGGCAACTTTGAGATTGATGAAATTAATCCCGTAGGCACGGAAAGAGTGATGCAACATCTGATGTTACGAGGAGTACCAGAGACCAGACTGAAAAAGCCTCCAAACAAAGCGGGCAAGCAAAAGGCGATGGCAGCCTACAATTGCAAGTCGGTCAAGGATATGTTGGAGCTTTTCCTGGCTTGTTCTACGTATGCGACTGCAAGTCACGTATCCACAATAAGCGAGGCTATGTCAACTAAAAATCCCTTTCCCGATCTGTTTGATGACCGCATTGGGGTGCATGGGAATGTGTCTGCCATCCCACGGCTGGAACACACACGTATGAATCCCATTATCTAGTGAATTAATTTGAATTTGCACGGGTTTCTTTCTAGGAGTCGAGTCAGTGCCAATCCTGGCCGGGCTTCATTCTGGCAGCGAAATCGGGCAAATGTTTGAATCTCTACACACTGAGGCCAAAAAGCTGAAAATTGCCCGCTTTAATCAATTCACCTTGGAAGCTGATGAATATGAGGACGCTCTGAACAGCGTCATGACACTGAGAGAGAACTACGAAGACAGCTTTTTAGTGTAGTTCACAGCTCAATAAAGTTCGCTTTTCTACAATACGAGTTTCGTTTTTCACCTCAACTGCTGCCACTAGCTGTGGATCGGCTGGTAATCCTAATCAATGTCAAAAATTGGTCATGTTTCATCAAATTCCTCAAGAGTTCTCATAACCGGGCCCAGGCCTTCATTGTTTCAAGAGGCAACATTTTTCTTCATCAATTATTCCTGAACGGGCTGTAGTTGAAAGCAGCCGAAATGGTTCGTCGCAATATTGGTAAGCGCGTAAAAAACTAGCTGATGGAAGTTCAACGCGTTTGTTTTTCAGGTCCAGGCCCGGGCAAGTACTTGCTGCCGCCAGTGGTAGGATTCGACCATCATGATTTCACCAAGTATCGCAATCCCCAATATTCCATGGGGGTAAAGTTGGGGTATTTGAAGAAAGAACTGGGACCAGGGCCGAAGTACCCAGTGGAAAAATTGACTCGCTATGGAAAAGCCAGCCCTCCGGCGTATTCCATCAAATCGCGCCAGAAAGCTTTAAGTAAGTCTCGACTTTTTCGCGCACGTTTTACAACTCTTAAACCAAAATTAATTCCTGGGTTTCAGTCATTTATTGTCT